AGACAGCCTTATTCAAGAGCCTCTGTGCTCAGCTTGGATGAGGCGGAGTTTCAGGGTGGAGCCTATAGCCTTGGCTTTCTGTCAGCCCCGCCCTATGAGGTTTTTTCTCAGTGTTCCTCAGTGTCCTTTGGTACTCACTGCTTTGGTACTCACTGCAAGCACCTCTGAGAGAAAGGTGCCCTTGAGTTTCACCCACCACCAGACAGTCTAGTCTCTCCCCCAATGAGCCCGGAACTGGGATTCAGTGCAGTTGGAAGTGGGGTTCAGTGCAGTCCAGAGCTTTTGTCTACTTCCTGCTAGGGCAATCCAGCGGCACAGTCAACAGACCATCCTCAGAGCGCAATGTGCGTGACTCCGGGGCTCTGCTTTTCGCCGCTCTCCTGAGTTTCCACCTTACAGCTTAGAATCCTGTATGAGCCTGGGACCCCAGGGTCTCACCCAGAACTGGGGTTCAATGCAGTCGGAACTGGGGCTCAGCACAGTCCGGAGCTTTTATCTCCTTCCCACTAGGGAATGCCAACCAGGCACTCAGCCGCCCCTCCTCTCTGGCTCCGTCCTCTCCCCACGTGTGCACCGTGTCTTCGAACCTTAGGCTTTTACAGCTCCTCTGATTTTCCTTCTGGTATTCTCTTTCTTTCTAGTTGTAGAATTTCCAGTCAGTCAACTTTCCTGTAGTTCTGGATGATGTCCACTTTATATTTTAGTTGTATATTTTGAAATTGTTGTGTGAGGCTGCAGTTAGGCGTTTACCTATGCTGCCATCTTGGTTTCTCTCCTCTCTTTCTGTTGTTGATAATTTTTATTTTTACCTTTTTGTTCTTCTTCCTCTTCTTAAAGAATAGCTTTCAGCATCCTAACTAATAATAGAGTAATATGCAAATTAACCATCACTCTGCTACACTCACAAGCCACAACCACCAGCCAATCAGAGTGAGTTTGCAAATTAACCCAACATAGGTGGCAGTTAATTTGCATACACGGAGGGAGGGAGGAGTGTAGACTGAAGACAGCATAGAAGGAAGAGAGAGGGAAAGTGGAAAGCAAGGTGGCTGTGGCTGCTGGAGGAAAAGCACTGGCAGTGCTTGTGGGGCGGGGTGTGGTGAGGCATGCAGAGGTGGGCATGCAGCTGAGGAGGTGACAGTGGTGGTGGGCAGGTCAGGTGGGAGGGGTGGGGCGTGCAGCAGCAGTGGCGGCAGTAGTTCCAGGGCATCAGGGACTGCAGTGGCGGTGGTGGGTGTGGCAAGTCTGGCGTGTGGGGAGAGGTGCACAGCAGAGGTGGCAGCAGTGAACACGGACCTGTCCCAGCCCACCCCACCCAGCCCTGCCGGCCGCAGCCAGAGAAGTGGGGGGGACGGGAGAGGTGGCAATGGCTGGAGGGAAGCCCACTGGAAGTCTTGCAAGAATATTTCTGCAGCAGGTCCCTAGTTTCATATAATTCTGGTTTGGTGGTGATGAACTCTAGCTTTTTCTTATCTATGAAACTCTTCATCTGACCTTCAACTCTGAATGATAGCTTTGCTCGGTCGAGTAATCTTGGTTGTAGTTTCTTGCTATTCATCACTTTGAATATTTTTGCCATTCTCGTCTGTCTGCATGGTTTCTGTTGAGAAATCAGCTGACAATCGTATGGGTGCTCCCTTGTAGGTAGGTAACTGTTTTTCTCTTGCTGCTTTTAATATTCTCTCTTTGTCTTTTGCTCTTGGCATTTTAATTATGATGTGTCTTGGTGTGGTCTTCTTTGGATTTCTTTTGTTTGGGGTTCTGTGCACTTCCTGGACTTGTAAGTATATTTCTTTCACCAGGTGGGGAGAAGTTTTCTGTCACTATTTCTTCAAATAAGTTTTCAGTATCTTGCTCTTTCTCTTTTTCCGGGACCCCCATAATTCTGATGTTGGTATGGTTGAAGATGTCCCAGAGGCTCCTTACACTGTCTTCACATTTTTTTTAATTCTTTTTTCTTTTTCCTTTTCCAGTTGAGTGTTTTTTGCTTCTTTGTATTCCAAATATTTGACTTGATTCTTGCGATCCTCTCATCTGCTTTTAGGTCTCAATATAATATTTTTTATTTTAGTCAGTGTATGCTTAATTTCTAGTTGATCCTTTTTCGAATCCTCAAGGGTCTCATTAAATTTATCATCTTTTTCTAGGAAATTCTTGAAAAACCTGTAACTGTGGTTTTGAACTCTATATCCATTCATTTTCTTTCCTCCATTTCCTTAATTTGTGACCTGCCTGTTTGTCTCTGCATTTCAGCTGCTTCCCAGAGTTGATAGAGTAGCTTTGTGTGCTAGATTTCCTAGCAGGGCCCAGTGGCTTAGCCTCCCCAATTACCTGAGGTGGACACTATTGGTGTGCCCTTTTGTGGGCTGTGTGTGCAATCTTATTGTAGGTAAGCCTAGATTGTTGTTAGTATCAGTAGGAGGAATTGACCTCCAGGCCGATTGGCTGTGAGGATCACCTGTGTCTCTGCTGGGAGAGCTTCTGTGCTCAGCAGAATCTAAGGGCGGAGCAGACAGCCTTGGATGTGGGACACAAGACAAATTGTCAAAAATCAGGACTGTCCTGCCAAAAGCGGGACGTCTGGTCACCTTAAGAGGCCCCTGGCAATGGCTGCACACACCTCTGAGAGAAGGCTGCTCTTGAATTTTGCCCGTTGATAGACAGTCGAGTTTCTCCCCCAATGAGTCTGAGTATCCAAAAATCTCACCTGGAACTGGATTTCAGTGCAGTCGGGAGGTTTTGTTTTCCTCCCAAACAAGAAAGCTAGCCATGCACTTGCTGCACGCCCTCTCCGCATGCCGCGAGTAAGGCAGTTGCGTATTCAGCCGCCTGCCCTTTTCTCGTGCGGTCTCTGCATCTCTGTCCTCCACAGCTCCTGAGTCTCAGTGTCATTTTCTCTTTCCTTCTAGTTGTAGAATTTTCACTCAGCCAGCTTTCTGGTGATGCTGGACAATGTTCGATTTGTCTTCCAGTTGCAGTTTTGAAATTGTTATGCGAGGCAGCAGTATAGGTGTTTACCTATGCCACCATCTTCATTTCTCGGCCTAAATATGATAACACATTTTGAAGGAAAACAAACTGTATTTTTCAAAACAAGACTTTAATGAAACTAGTGTCAGTTTTTTTTTGTTTTTTACATTTTTGCAAGTCTTTTCAATATCTGGCTTAAGGAAAGATTGCTTAATTCATCATTCAATCTGCCATGCAGTCACATAACCTATAGTCTGGGAAACTCCAACCACCACTTGTGAGAGAATAAAAGTGGAAGAAGCAAACAAAATCTTAATGTTTTTTATGAAAATAATTTTGAACTTATGCATTCTCTGAGTGTATTGGAGCCTCGGGGGACTTTAGACCACAGAACCACTGCCCTAAAGTATTTTCACTTGATATTCCTGTGCATAATTTATAATTACTTCAAGTGGTAGCACACACAAAACAGTAGATGATATACTAAAATGGGGCTTTTAAATCGAAATTGTTATCATTGGAAGTGGAGTTCTTAGAGTGCTGCAAATAAAATACTGTCCTGAGGCTGCCACAACAGGATGGGGTTTCATGTAAAGCTTTACTGATGATGTAAAGTTAAGGGGTTCCCTTCCAAGGTCCTATCTCAGTCCCTCTCACCATGGAGGAAGTCCAACTGTGTCTTTAGCAGGGCTGGAATAAAGGCCACTGCCCATAGTTTCTGCTCCATATTAAAGTCCAGTCCAGTGCAGCATTCTTTGGGTGGGGTCTGCATGGCCCTGGGTCATGTGGCTACATAAGGCCACATGGCTATGGAGGAACAACGGGCGAGCCAATGGAAAGTACAGGTCACAGAGCAAGCAAGAACAAGAACCAACCCAAGAGAGAGGGAATTCTTTGGGGATTTTAACTAGTTTTCATAACTTCTTATGGGGTCTACCCCCTAGCCAATTCATTGTTCCTCAGGCTAGACTAACAAACAAGCCCCTTTGCTGGACCCCTTTCCCCAGTGATCTGCAAGGAGTGGACCAGGGGGTTCCCTGGGGAGTGTGAAGCCACAGCTTCCTGGTGAAGCTGCCCAGATGGCCATGTTTATAATTCTAGCCTCCCCTTTGCTCTGTTCCTATTATTAATATTAATAAACTAGAAACCCAGTGCATGAAATTCGTGCACAGAGGGGTGGGTCTCCTCAGCCCAGCCTGCACCCTCTCCAATCCTGGGGATTGAGCCTAAACCAGCAGCCAGACATCCCTCTCATAATCCTGGACTGCTGGCTCCTAATCACTCACATGCCTGCCTTCCTGGTTGCCCCTAACTGCCCCCCCCCCCCCAACTCCTGCTAGCCTGATCACCCCTCACTGGCTCTGCATTCCAGCCTGGTCACTCCTAACTGCTTTTTGCTGACAGCCAGGTCGCCCCCAACTGCCCCCCTGACATTCAGTTGTTTCTCACTGCCCCCCTGCCAGCCTAATTGCCCCCAACTGCCTCTCCTGCTGGCCTGGTCACCCCTAACTGCTTCCCCCCCACTGGCCTGGTCACCTCTTACTGTGCTCACTGTTGGCCTGGTTGCCCCCAACTACCCCCATCTGCCAGCCTGATCACCCCTAACTGCCCCCCACCCCTGCTGGCCTGGTCACCCCAATGCAGCCTGCTGTTGTTCAGTTATTTGGTCAACCCTCACTAACCACCCTGCTGGCCTGGTTGTAGGCAGCCATCTTGTGAGAGTGTGAGAGTCAATTTGCATATTACCTCTTATTATATAGGATTAGTTAATTACAATTATAACAATATCTCAGAAAATAAAAATTAGTATCAGTGGAGCAAAATGCCACAGTCCAGAGAATTGGATAATCCAGCAGAGTCCTGGTGAAACCTCAAATTTTCAATAGATAATTCAGAGGTTTCCTCACTTTATCAACCCTTTGAATCTTTAAAACATAATGTGATTTATACAAAAATATACTCACTAATATATGTTTTAAGCAAATATCTACTACATAAAACAGATTTAATATTCTTTCTTTTTTTTTCAGACGTAACATATCAGATGATTTGAACGTTGGCTTTTTTAGCACAGACCATGCTACTCAGACGGATTACAGTGAAATTTTGCCATTAAAAGAGCTAAGCTTATCTACACAAAAACTAGTGCAGGTAATATGGATTAATTCTAAACTAGAGGGAAGAAGAGTTACATGCCAGTCCTGGGTGACCTGCCAGCCACCCCACCAGATAGAAGCAGCCGTGCTCCTTTACCCCTTCTGCCTTGTCCACGTTGGAGACACAGCAGCTGAGTGTGGGAGGAGAGGCGAGGGAGAGCTCAAGACTGAATCACACTCTTCTCCTTGAAGACAGGCAGCTGCCAATGACTGTTTAGCTTGGAGTACAGGGAGAAAGAAGCCTTACCTATGAGTGAAGTTGAAGTGGTCATGTTAACTCATAGTGGTCATATTCCAAAAGCTTCTTCGAGACTGTGATTTGGGTGAAGGTAGGACTTTCTGTCCCCAAGGATGAACAAAAAGTCATGGACTTGCCTAAAGTTTTCATTCAGGGGCAGGTAACCTAGGAATATATTTAAATGGATGGTGGAAAACAAAAATACATTGTGTTTTGATGATTACATATCAAAATTAGCCATAACTGGTTTTGCGCAGTGGTAAGAACATCGTCTGTCCCCCTTTCCCTCAGTCACATATCTGGGTTGCAGTTTCAATCCCTGGCCCCATCAGGGCAGGATGCAGCCAATCAATGTTTCTCTTTGTATGTCTCTCCCCTTTTCCCCACTCTCTCTAAAAAAGAAATCAATGGGAAAAAATATCCTCGGGTGAGGATTAACAGTCAAACACCCAAACAACAACAACAACAAAACCCAAATGGAAACTAATCAATATACTGGTTATATATTTAAGTAGTTGGCTAGTGAATTCATAACAAATGTGGTTTTCTAATACAAAAATCACATAGTGAGAATTATACCTTTGAGGTATATTCTGTATGAGAGTAAATTACTAGTGTTACCTGTGGGACATGAAGACTTTTGTCCTAGTCTTTTTATTTTTCTGTTAATCCTCACCCAAGGATATTTTTCCATTGATTTTTAGAGAGAGTGAAAGGGAAAGACAGAAACATGGAGATACTTTGATTGGTTGCCTCCCACTAATGCCCAGAACAGGACTAGAGCCAGGGATTGAGCCTGCAACTGAGGAAGGACCCCTCAGTCCACAGTTCTATCCACTGAGCTAAACTGGCTAGAGGGGTTCTAGCCTTCTAGCTACATACAAATACTGAAGGAAAGATTTCAATTAAGAGACAAAGTATAGAAAAGCAAGCATGAATTTACTGACCACAGCAAAAATACACTTAAGACAGTGAAAGAAGGAAGGACTATAGGAGAGCCTAGGCTAGGCTGCCTTGGCTCACTGGGAAGTCTGAGAAAAGGGCACCTTGGAAACAGGTTCAGTGGATTAGTGTGGGATGAGCTGCTGCTGCCCATTGCTCCTCTGACTGCAAGTCTTGTGGGGTCCCTTGGAGTTTAGGAGATACATGCCTGTGGGGGAAGGAGAGGGGAAGGTTGCCAGAAGCCAATTTCAGCATGTCAAAACTGCAAGAGTTTCATTGAATAGTTGATGGAACTTGGGGACTCAACAAGGGCTGAGTCACATATGTTATTGACTGCTGGGATGGCTAAAGGCATTTCCCCAAACCTGAAAATGATGCATTAAATTGATTGTTTGCTGCCAGACAGCTCAGGGCATCTTAATCTACATGTTATTGTCTCCTGTTGGCCAAACACCTGAACAGCCACAGGTAATTCTTCCAATCTGACAGTAGATTCTGTAGATGAAACCCTACCCTTTAAAGTGTATATCTCCACCTTGCCTTAGAACAAATTGTGTTAATAAAAAGCTAGGGGTCCTGAGACAAGGAGAACTTAGTTTCTTTAGCTAGGCTCCTCTGACCCCCTATGTCTTTCAAAATTTTCTTTCATCTCTGGACTCTTAAGTTACACATAGCCTTTCTACAGATTCCTGAACCCTTCTGGATGTCAAAATAAGAACCCCAGCAGGAGGGGAATGACACAGAGTATTCTCCTGAGAGAGAGCACACTGGGACCTTCATTTTCAGGGATTTGAAAGGCTGTGTTTAGGGGAGGTCCTAGGGGTGGAGCAATGTAACATTCATCAGCTTTATGCTATTGTACCAATAGGAGATTTATTCTCTTAATTTGCTTGTCCTTGGTGTGGGTGACAAATGGCACTTAATTGGATTTCTGTTATTGAGTTTCCCTGAGTAGGGTGATTTGACCCTCTGGTTGGGGAGAAGTATCCTTGGTTTAGGGAAGATAGGATTTACTAGGTGGCTGCAAACTGCTGTTTAATTATCTTAGTTTCCCTATTCCACTTGTCCCAGAATTTTCCTAGTCTCTTATTATAACACTAGGAACTTCTTCTAGTTTATTCCATTAGTTTATATTCCTTTAGCAGATTAATTGGAATTCCCGATATAAGGAGTATTTGACAGATAATCTTAAAATGCAGGACAATCTCCTGACCAGATCAGATACCCAGGTTATATGCCCAGAACCCGGCATGGTGTCACAATCTCTATGATAATGTATGTTTTTCTATTTTTAGACTATTAGATCTCTTCAGGTAGATTTTGGGTTCCTAAAAGAATTGCTTCAGTTGAAGTTTGAGGACCGGATTAAAGAGGAGTCTTTCAATCTCTTTGCTGTTCTACATGACAGGATTCTAACAGTTGAAAGACATTATCAACAGGTAGTATGTCTCTAATTTTCTTTGTGGGTTTTTTTGTTGTTGTTTGTTTCATTACCTTTGTTTTGTGTGTAGACTGATCTTGTGCTTAGACACATATGTACTACAAGTTTGAACTTAGCAATTTTTGACAGCAACATAATTTGTATATGTTGTGTCCCATATAACAGCTTCATACATGTAGCTTTACCATGTGTTTGGAACTTTTCTAAGCACTCTGAATACAAATTTATTTAATCCTCACATTAATATTATGAAATAGGTATTATTATTATTATTATTATTATTCATTTTTTATAGATGAGGAAACTGAGGCACAGAAATGTTAATTAACTTGCTCAGATCACCAGTCTGGATTCTAGGACAGAAAGCTTGATGATTGAGATTTGACTCTTAGACACAATTTTATATGATCTTGTTTGTGCTTTAATGGCTCGTTTGGAGGTAAAGGCATGGAAACTCTGCTGCTTTGAGGAATTTCTTAAAACCTATGGTCAGATTCATCTGCATACTTATCTATCATTATCAATAGGCATTCCTCTTATTTATCTGTTATAAAACAAAAATTCCATCTCCATCTATTGTTTTGTGGTGTGTTATTTAAATTTTCTGATAATAATTTTATTTACTTTTTAAATTTTTTATCTTTATTGTTGAAATTATTACAGATGTTCTCCTTTATACCCCCTCTACCCCCTCCCTCTAACCTCTCAGGCCTTCACTCACTGCTCTCCATCTATTGGTGACCACACCATTCTAAGTTCCATACTAAGCCTTTTCAGCACAAGTCCCTTAACAATCCTAACATGGAAATACTTTTATCCCTGATCTATTGTACAAATATGGAAACTGGGCTACCAAGGTGAAGTAACTTGCTTAAGGGCAGACAGATAATAGTAAATGGCACAATGATAGTGAAATCTAAATCTGCCCGATTCTAAACTCTATTGTTGTTTACATTCCATGCTGGAATCAGAGTTGATATCTTTCATTGTTATCCTAAAAAGATCTGTTAAACTATTTGATCAGAAAATAAGTAGTTTATGAGTTAGCGTCTCTAGATTTTATTTTCATGAGTTTTTTATCATTCAAAAAGTAGAAGGAGCAAAAGAGGATATGAATTGATAATAGATTTCACTACTTTTAAAAAGTGCTTTTTATTGATTTTTAGAGAGAGAGAGGGAGAGGAATAGAGAGATAAAACATCGTGAGGTGAGACACATCATCATTCAGTTGCCTCCAGGGAATAGAGCCTGCATCTTGGCTTGTGCCCTGACAGGTAATCAAATCCATGACCTCTTGCTTCCTGGTTCAAGGCTCAACTGCTGACTCACACTGGCTGGGCAGATTTCACTACTTTTTTTTTTTTTTTTTTTTTTTTTTTTTTTTAAGAGAGGAAGGGAGAGAGATAGAGAGTTAGAAACATCGATGAGAGAGAGTCATTGATCAGCTGCCTCTTGCACACCCCCTACTGGGGATGTGCCCGCAACCAAGGTACATGCCCTTGACCGGGATCGAACCCGGGACCCTTCAGTCCCCAAGCAGACACTCTATCCATTGAGCCAAACTGGTCCCGGCAGATTTCACTACTTTTAAAAGCAGTTCCAGGAAGATAAGAAAAAGACTTTGATATGTAAAATGAAATAAAATCTTCAAATTATCCAGAGGGACACTATTGCTTTTGGTTAAGTGTAAGTAAAAATGGAATGTGCTGTAAGAGCTATACCATAAGAGAAATAATAATAAAATGAATTTCTCAAGAGATTGTGGTGATTTGAATGATTTTCTACTGAGCTCCTCCCTAGTAGGTGTGAGAGTTGTTTTTGGAAATACATTATGATGCTCCTTGTGCTTATTTCTGGCTTGCAGAATGAAGAATTAATAAGAAAATGCTGCCATCAGCAGTTGGCAGATGCCATAGCTGTAGTCCGAGGAATGTACAAGGTGGGTCTTAGTGCTATCCTGGGCAAGACCAGCTTCATAACCAGCTTTATATCTTGGAAGTGCATAGAGTGGGGCTCACTTTGGCTTCCTAGCCTGAATTATGTCAACGTAAAAAAGTTCAAGCCTAGAGATAGTTTTTATAAGGGTTTATTTGAGCAAAATTGATGACATATGCTGGTGAGCAAGATCTAAAATGCTCTGCAGCATAATAGTTTTGCAACTTCATTTGTGCATTTATTGGAGGTGGGGAAAAGCAAGGTGGAGATGAATTGCAGTATAGTTAACGAGATCATGTGCTTTCTTGAGGGTGATTAAAGTTTACTTGAAAGGAGTGTTAACCAAGATGCATAGAAACAATGGACAGGGCAAAGATAAACACTTTACTAAAAAGTTATAAAAGCCTGGGTCATGACTACCCCTATGACCTGCCCAGTTAGGAATTTATGATTAGATCACCCTTTGAGGTTACTTTCCATAAAACCCCTTTTGTTGTTCAGTTTTTACCTTTGAAGATCTGTTTTCTCAGTTTTCAGGCCCCTGAAGAGGAATTAGGCCTAAGATTGTTCATGCTCACATTAAATTTAACTAAACAACACTTTATGGTAGCAGATAAAACTTTTCAGAGACTGGAGAATCCCAACCTGTTATCCAAAGTGCCAGGACAGCTGATGAAGTAATCCAGATTGCATGGTGAGCATGCAGTTGGATCGAAGCAGGTCAGATGGTCTTAAGAGAGAGTTCATCTGTTCATAGTAAATCCCAGTGAACAGTCTCTGACTCTTGATAGAGTGACTTTTCTAATGACAAGGACACTGTCTGCCACACTAATGCTTCACTCCCCTGCGTAATGGAAAAATCATGATCTTCAGTGATTACTCTTTAGGCTTAATAAAGATCTTGTTCCTCTTATAGTAGTTATTAATCTTTTCTTTCATTTCAATATGATTCTATAAAGAAACATTTATTTACAGCAAAGTGGGCATTTCTTATAGCACAACACATTTGTGTTTAACTATATAATTGCTTGTTATAAATCTCTTTTCTGTTCCAGGCTGTAAGCCCTATGAGGGCCAGATGTTGTCTATCTTATTCACTGCTATGCCCTGCCTCTTAGCAGTGTGCTTGGTACATAATTAGCAATCAGCTCAAAATGGCATATAAGCCTTAATTACCGAATTTGCCCTCTGGTCTCATACTCTTATGGAACTTCCATATGTACATATATAATAAACCTGGCTATTTTCTCTTAAATAACTTAAGAAGAACTGCACAATGTATGTACAGGTGCCTATATTTGTGACAGATGCTGGTCACTCAATAGTCATTTTCCCTCCTCCATATATATATTTATATATTTATTTATTTATTTATTTATTATTAATTCACTTAAATCTTTATTGTTGAAAATAATACATATGTCCCCCATTTCTCCCCATTGATCCCCCCTCATCCCCCCTCAGGCCTTCACCACTCTATTCTCTGTGTCCCTGGGTTATGCATATATGCATACAAGTTCTTTATCCCCCCTCCCCTCTTTCCCTCTTAGATTCTGCACTCTGAATCTCCTTTTTTTTTTTTTACTTAGCAGAAGCCCTTCTTCCTGTATAAGACAAAATGCTAAATAATTTCTTTCTCAACTTCCTTTTCAGCTATGGTATGCGCATGGACGAGGTCGCTTTTCCACATCATCTGAACAATGGGACCTGACGGTAAGTTGGCTGTGACATTTGGGAGCAGGTTTTCTCTCATTAAAGGGGACTCATGGAAGGAAATACCTTTCTTTTTTCTTTGTGTGACCTTGTTACATCTCCTTCTGATGCTTGGAATGGATGCAGCCAACCTAAAACCAAGGACTGAGACACTCACACCAACAAGCAATTTCTTTTTATTTATTTATTTATTTATTATTTATTTATTATTTATTTTTTTAAATAAGTTTTTATTGTTCATATTATTACAAATGTTCCTTCCCCCACCACCACCATTGCTCTCCTCCACCAGGTTCCCACCCTACCCTCTGCCCTTTCCCCACCCCCCATTGTGCTCATCCATAGGTGCACAGTTTATGTTCAGTCTCTTCCCCCTCTCCCCTTTTCCCCAAGAATCGTCAGTTCACTTCCCTTCCATACCTCTGATTCTATTATATTCAACAGTTACTATTGTTCATCAGATTTATTTTTTAATTTCCTTGGTTTTTAGATTCACTTGTTGATAGCTACGTATTTGTTGTTCATAATTTTTATCTTTGTTTACTTTCTCTTCTGAAAGAACCCCCTTTAGCAATTCATATAATTCTGGTTTGGTGGTGATGAACTCCTTTAGCTTTTTTTTATTAGTGAAGCTCTTTATCTGACCTTCGATTCTGAGTGATAGCTTTGCTGGATAGACTATCTTTGGCTGTAGGTTCTTACTATTCATCACCTTGAATATTTCTTGCCATTCCCTTCTGGCCTGCATGGTTTCTGTTGAGAAGTCAGCTGACAATCGTATTCAGGGGTCCTCAGACTTTTTAAAGTGGGGGCCAGATCACGGTCCCTCAGAGAGCTGGGGGGCCGGACTATATGAACTACTAATTCCTACTGTAACACCTCGGCTGCGCTCACTGCCCAAAAAACCTGGCGGGCCGGATCAGACTCCTCTGCAGGCCGCATGTGGCCCGAGGGCCGTAGTTTGAAGACGCCTGGTAGGTGCTCCTTTATAGGTAACTACCTGCTTTGCTCTTGCTGCTTTTAATATTCTCTCTTTGTCTTTTGCTCTTGGAATTTTAACTATGATGTGTCTTGGTGTGGTCCTCTTTGGATTCCTTTTGTTTGGAGTTCTGTGCGCTTCCTGGACTTGTAAGTCTAATTTTTTCACCAGGTGGGGGAAGTTTTCTGTCACTATTTCTTTCAGTATGTTTTCCATATTTTGCTCTCTCTCATCTTCTGGGACCCCCATAATTCTGATGTTGGTTCGCTTGAAGTTGTCCCAGAGGTTTCTTACATTATCTTCAATTTTCTGGATTCTCTTGCCTTCTAGCTTCTGTGGAGAAGTGTCTTCTGGCTCTTTATGTTCCAAATCTTTGACTTGATTCTTGCAATCTTCCCTTCTGTTTTTAGGACTCTGTAAAATATTTTTTATTTCAGACAGTGTATTCTTTATTTCTTGTTGATCCCTTATCATTTCTTGATGACTCCTTATTAATTCTAGTTGATCTCTTTTCATATCCTCATAGGTCTTATCCATCTTTTCTAGAAAATTCTTGAAAAACCTTATAAGCGTAGATTTGAACTCTATATCCAGACGCTTTTTGTCCTCCATTTCTTTTGTTTGTGATCTATTTTGTTGTCGCATTTCTCAGTTACAAATGGGACGGGGTTTCAGGGTGGAGCCTGCAGCTTTGGCTTCCGTCAGCCCCGCCCTATGCGGGTCCTTCAGTGCTTGCTGCCGGCACTTCTGAGAGAAAGGTGCCCTCGATTTTCGCCTGCTGCCAAACAATCTATGCTCTCCCACAATGAGCCCAGTATTGGGGTTCAGTTCAGTTGGAAGTGGAGTTGGAGGTAGCGTTCAGAGCAGTCTGGAGCCCCAGTCTCCTTCCCGTCAGGGCAATTCCGCGGCACAGCCGACCGTCCCTTCTCTGCGCGCAGTGTGCGCGCCTCCGGGACCTCCTTTCGCTGCTCCCCGGGGTTCCGCCTTACAGCCCGGCTCCCTATGGCTGAGCCTGAGTCTCCGGGGTCTGGCCTAGAACTGGGGTTCAGAGCAGTCGGGGGCCCAGCACAGTCGGAGTTTTATCTCCTTTCCGCTAGGGAACGCCTGCCAGGCACTCCGCCTCCCCCTCCTCTCTGGCTCCGTCCTCTCTGCGCGTGCCGCGTCTCCGTACCTTGGGCTTTTCCAGCTCCTCCGCGCCTCCTTCTGGTTTTCTCCTTGCTTCTCGCTGTAGAATTTCCAGTCAGTCAACCTTCCTGTAGTTCTGGGCAATATCCATTTTATATTTTAGTTGTATTTTATTGAAATTGTTGTGTGTGGCTGCGGCTAGGTGTTCACCTGGGCGCAGCCATCTTGGATTCTCCTCAAGCAATTTCTTAAATACATTTGTGGGATAGATTACTTCTCTGGCTGTGCTAAGGATGGCAGAGTGGAAGACTGCTCTGTCAACATTCTCTGAGTCCATGCCCAAATGTGTTTCCAAAGATGGCCTTGACACTATCTTCCAGCACCTGCTCTTCTGCAATGCTACCTCGCTCCTCTCCCACCAGAGGTGGGGCATAATTCCCCTCCCCAGAATCCCGCTGGTCCCAGTGACTTGCCATAAGCACAGAGAGTGGAGAAAGTGATGCTGCCTGACTCCGAGGCCAGGTTGCAAGAAGCCTTGCAAATGCATCCTTATACCTTCGGAATGTTTGCTCTCTGGATTCCCCTCTCTGATTCCAGCTGCCATGGTGTGAGAATCTCTAGCTGTGTTGAAGGTCTACATGGGGTACTGGGTGCACAGGCCTAGCTGAGTCCAGCCTTTAAGTCATCCAGTCTCCAACCATTCATTCTTCCCATCCAGACATTATGAATCAGGGAGAAGCCATCTGCGATGCCTGCCCTAATCCCCTGACCCACAGTGTTCATGAACATAATGAATAGTTGCTGTTTAAGCTGATGGGTTTGTGGAAATGTGTTATGCAGCACTAAATAGATAGTTGGAACAGTATCCCTATACTCATACCAACAAGCAATGTCTTAAGTACATTTGTTGGGTAGGTTATTCTCTAATGATTCTGGCAGAACAGTTACAGCATGGTTTAAGTTTTAGAGAAAGAACTCCAGAGTCAGACCATATGGGTTCAAATCCTGGCACTGCACTTAATTGCTATGTGACCTCAGGCAAAGTATTGACTCTCTGCCTCAGTTTCTTTATCTGTCAAATGAGGATCACACAAGTACCTGCCACATAGGCCTGTTCTGAGGATGAAATTAATTGATCTTTGTGAAGCGCTTAAAGAGTGCCTGGCACAGGATATTGCAATTATTAG